CTGGTGGCGAGGACGTGTGGACGCGCCCCGAGGGACCTTGGGGTCCGCCAGCGGGACCTGGGCCCCCGCCCCCGTGCCGGTCTCCCGTCTGGCGTTACGCAAAATTGTCCCGAGGCGGCGCGGTCCCGCGCTCGCTGAGCGGCCGCGGCGCCGGGCTCGCAGGGGGCGCGCGGGGGAAAAGCCTGCTTCTGCGGCGCCGAGCGCCTCTCCTCGCGGAGATGTGCGTTCTCCTGTGTCTCTACCAGCTGTTTCAAGAAGGTGCTCCTCCGTGAGGTCTCATGCTCCTGCGCTTCCGGGGATATTGTATTAATCAATGATTTCCCTTTAGGGTTTACCTCTTTCCTGTAAATCCTTTTTTTTGTTTGCCGGGAAAGATTCACCCTGAGCTAACCTCTGTTGCCAGTCTTCGTCCCCACCCCCGCACCCCCAGCCCCGGGGCATGGCTGTATATCCCGGTTGTCAGTCCTTCCAGTTCTTCTGTGAGCGCCCTGGCAACAGCATGGCAACTGGTGGTGTGGTTCCGCCGCCGGAAACGGACCTGGGCCACCCAAGGGATGAGAGCACTCAACTTGAACCACTAGGCCATCAGGGCTAGATCCAGTCCTTCCTTTTTTTTTTAAAAAAAAGAATATTTTATATAGTACAGTTTGTAACGTTGCCATATTTAGCAAACAAAAATACAGGGCGCCCGGTTAAATTTGAATTTTCAGATAAACAAGGAATACATTTTAAAAATAGACTCGTCTCATGCAATATTTGGGACATACTTGTACTAGGCATTATTCGTTATCTGAAATTCAAATTTAACTAGGCGTTTGTGGTACAACAGATTTATACTTTTCGTAGCTTTCTGTTTTTAACAGTATCTTTACATTAATAGTCCTTACAGGGATTTGATAACAGAAAACCTAAATTTCTCTTTTCTCTCATATCTAGCTAAAAGTTGGTTGAAAGAAATGAGTTATTCAGGGAAGTACATTACAGCCATTTGATTATAGGCTTCAGCCATTTGATTATAGGTACTAAAAATGACCTGGAAGTTGATAAGGGAAAGTTCACCTTGTCTTTCTTGCTACTGTTGCTTTTAAATGTTAATCTTGTTTATTTGGCTGTTGGTAAAATCCCATCTGTCAGCATTTGTTAAGCCCTCCCGCATCCCCACAGATAACCACATGGCTCACTGCTTGAATGGCTCTTTATCTTTGAGGCTTTTCTTGACCACCTGAATAAAATAGATCCCCCACTGTAACCACCCACCCATCCTTCAGTTTCTTATCTACCATACTCTTCTTTATATTTCCCCAAAGCATTTACTGCTATCTGACAGACACATATTTACTTGATTATATTTGTGTGCCCTCATGAGAATTTAAGTTCCATTTGGGTGGAAACATTTATCTGTGTTTTTTCACTGCTGTATCCTTAGCACCTAGAAAAGTTCCTGAGGCATGATAGGTGCTCCATAAATATTTGTCCAATGAATGAATGAGTGTATGTATTGGGGTATGGAAAACAAGGGAACTATTAACACAGCTCCCAAGAGAATGCTACTTCCTGTCTTACATATTTAAAGATTTTATAATTAAGTAATACATGATATAGAAAAAGAATATTCACCGTTTCCCAACATGGAACAGTACCTCTCAAATTTCCTCCAGTCCTTCCTATCCTACACAGTGAGAGATTCACCCAGTTCATTCATGAACTTTTCCTAAAAACGCCAGCCTACTTCAAACTTCTTTTTAATTGGCAGTACCAAACCATATATTTCCCTCCTTGTATTATCAAATGTCATTTGTTTTATTATTGCCTTGACTAGCTTGTAAGCACTTTTTAAAAAAAAAGCAAATAGGTTATTTTATAAGCCAACCTTTATAAATATATATGTAATATATATGCATGTATAATATGTAACATATGACATATCTGTAATATAGATGACATATATCTATAAATATGTTTTAGCATGTGCTTATTTGAAGGTATATTGATTGATTGGAAGAATGAAATTCAGAAAGTTGAGTGTTTTATAAATATTGTAAATAGTGGCAGTCTTAGTGGGACCTTTTGGGCCAGTACTAAATATTTTTGTAAACTGTTTATTACCTATAAGTGTAGGTGTATAAATTATCCATGATAATGTTTGGTTTTACTTTAAAACATATTTTTTACACATTTTCTTTAGGAAGAGAAAAGAGCAAAGCTTGCAGAGGCTGCAGAGAGAAGACAGAAGGAGGTGAGAGTAAAAATAAAATTCTGCTTACTTAGGTAATTAAGTTTGTACTTCATTCTCGATAGCTGTCTGTTACCAATAGTATTCTCTAATGAAAATAGTATCTGATACTCTATAAATTTGTGTTTAAAGGTAATCATTTTTCAAAATGATTTCTGTTTTTGTAAAATGCATTTATATCACTCAATGTGTGAAAATTACCGTACAGATATCTTCTATAATGTAAGATGCCCCTTTAATAGCATTCTTCCTTGGGATAGAATGACCATGCCTTATAAAATACTAACAGATATGAAATAAGTTTAGGGGCAAAATTTGGATGGTTGCAAAATACCCAATGAAGAAATGATAATATGTTTTATGTTTTGTTAAGCTGTTGTAGAAATAGTCTAATTCTTTGTTACCAAATATAGACCAACCCCTCACTCCAAAGAAAAACCTAAAAAGCAAAAACAAACAAAAAAAGACCTTTTGGACACTGGATACTGATTTTCACTGTTTTTCTATACCGCTTAACAAATTTCTTAAAGGCTGCATCTCGGGGCATTTTGGATGTTCAGTCTGTGGAAAAAAAGAGAAAGAGAAAGGAAGAAATAGAAAGACAAATGGCTACATCTGGGCCCCCACCAGAAGGTGGACTTAGAGTAAGTACTAAAATTTACTTAAGGTTTAATTTACCTGGAATTTTTACGAACTTGTAAAAGCAATCCATTCAATAATTTCCTCTTGAAATGGATTATCAGAAAATTTTGAATTAATTTAAAAGCATGAATAATGTAGATTGGAAGAAGTATCAATTTATTTGGACATTCTAACATTCATTGAAATAGATTTGCTTTCTTTTTCCCAAAATGAAATAGATTTTTCCTGATTATCTTAACACTATATCTTAATCCTTCATACTTATAAAATTAATACTAATCTTAAGTGTGTAGAAAACTCAAAAAGTATGGACAAGTATAAAGAAGAAAGTAAAAATCACCCAAATTCAGTGTTATTTTGATAGACATCATTTCTAATCTCCATTTATACATCAATCTTATTAAATTGGGTTATACTATAAATTCTTTTTTTATAACCTACATTTTTTCACTCAATGATTTGAGGTGGTTTTGTTTTGCTGAATAAGATTCACCATGAGCTAACATCTGTGCCAGTCTTCCTCTATTTTGTATGTGGGTCACCCACCACAGCGTGGTTGACAGGTGGTATAGGTCCACACCTGGCACCTGAACCCGCAAACCCGGGCCGCCAAAGCGGAGCATGCCTAACTTAACCACCAGGCCATGGGGCTGGCCCCTGATTTGAACCTTTTGAGCTCCCCATTGTCACTCATGATCATAGTTATATAAATGTTAGTTTGGACAATAGAGTGAACGGGTGAGTGTGGCATATCCATCTCTCAATGTAGCAATTACAGCTCTAGAAACTGGACATATAATGATGGACAAGTTAAATAAGGTCCTTGAACTTGGGGATCTTACAGTCTAGCAGGACTATAAAGGTTTTATTTTACATGTTAAAATTCAGGAAAATAATGGTTCAGACATTAAGATTTTATTCTTTGGTTCATTTTTAAAGGAAATAGATTTCTCAAGTAAGTATATTTGTGAAAAGGACAATGACCTGAATTTCAGTCATTTTTATTTAATTTGTCAATGATTTATGAGCATTTTTTAGCTGATTCACTGTCTTTTCAATTCAGTTTGGTTTTTGCTCTTAAAACTATAGCTATAAATACATATATGTATATATACCCCTAACTTGTAGGGCAGGCCATTTAAGAGCATCCTGAGCAGGGTGATTCTGGCTTGGGAATATCACATAGAGATAAGATTTATCTGTGTGTATTTTACAATTGTATGTTACCTCATCTAATTTCATTTAATAAGTGAAATTAAAATTTTTTTATCATTAACTTTTAACAATGTATGAAATAATTGGTTTCAATGTTAAGGTAAATAGCTGTGACCATTTTGCTTTTGTCTTTTTATATACCCCCACGGTAGAATAGAATTTGGGAGATACAAGGTCAAATATTGATCAGAAGTGTAGATGTTTACTTTCAATATTCTGTTGAGATAAAGATCTATGTCACCAGGTTTACTTCATAGAGAGTTCCCAAAAACAAAAAAAATTGTGAAAATTAAATTATAGGACTGGAAATGACGCTGAGATCCACTGTTTCATAATAGAAGAAATGGAGGTATGGAGTGACTTAATCAGAGTGACATATAATGTTATAAGACAAGGATACTTTATATGTAGGCAGAATTAAGAAGGTACTTATTTCACATGTTCTAACCTAACAAATTTAACATCAGCTTTTAAACTATAAGAAAGGGGCTTTCTTAATTAACCTGAAGTTTCCATGCCCTGAAGCCTGCAGATTAGAAATGAATTAGGCCATATATGGCTGCTTGTCGCCTCAGACGTGCTCAGAATGAAAGACATTCCAGCGTTCAATTTGGTACTTTTTTGTGTGTGTGCTGTTCTTTTCATGAACCCCTCTGGCTCCCTGAGTAAAAATGACACTCGAGCCATCAAGCTGGACAGCGGCAGGAGGGTTTTTCCAAGAAGAGTGGCTTGTTCTCGTCCACCACTGCTCTGGCCCGCTGTGTCACTTTCCTGTGGAGTATTCCTCGTCACTTCTACCACCAACACACCGGCTTCAAGGGGCATCCTTCTTTCCCCTTGACCGCCTGCATAGCTCGTTGAGAGCATACGGTGCAGTTAAAAATGAATTTTTGGAAGCTCAGGAATAACGGAAGGGAAAATACAAGGCAGAGAATAACTCGAATCTTCAACCCCCTTGGCCTGGGGTCCTTTAAAGCCTGCTGTCAGGCCTGCTTTACAGGCCGGCCTGGAGTGTCCTAAGTATAGCTAGGTTCTTCCTAACCAGACTGCTTAGTCTGAGGAAGACACGTCCTTTCCCTGTCTTCGTGCCGTCCCCATATTCATCTCTGACTAGCTCTGCCTCTTCCCAGGATAATTGGCATGGCGATGCTCACTGTCTTCTGGAAAGGCAGCCTTATTTTAAGAAGTCGGTGTACTGATGGCACCAGGACTCACACTAACTTCAGTACAGGACACCCCAGGAGAGGAGTAGCGGCAGACTCTAGTGCAGTGCCTCTCAACCCTGGCTGTGCGCTGGTCTCACGAGGAGCTGTCAAAACAGGCTGAACCTGGGGTCCCAGCTCCGAGCAGTCAGAATCTCTAAGTGGGGCTTAGCCGTCAGGACTTTCTTATGCTCCCCAAGGTAATCTAATCTCAAACCAGACTGAGAATCACTGCTCTAGTGTTTTAACACTAGTCCTAAGAGATATATTATGGAAAATAGAGTGCCATAGTAAAAATGTTTTGAAATCCTGAATATTACATTGTATACTGAATCCCTTTCTTGGAGATTAAAAAGGCACGCTATTCAAGTCTCTAAGAAGTCCTAAAATAAAGAAAAGCAAGTTTACTTGGATTAATCCTTAATTTTCAAAACATATTTAAATAGAGATGTAAAAATATATATATATAACACCCAGTAATATTCCTTGGATGTACTCGGGAAGCACTACTCCATAGGCTGGTAAGTATCTCTGGTCCTGTCCCACGGTGCTTTCAGAACTCACTATTGCAGAATTAATAGACTTGATGAAACAGAACAGCAGATGGAATAGTTTCTCAAGTCAAGCAAGGAAAAGACTTTGGCACACCATTGTTTAATATTTTCTACCATTTCTTAGCTCCTTGCCTCAAACAAGAATGCCTTTATTTTTATTTTGTAGTTTCATTGTTGGTTTTGTGTTGTGGTTTTTCGTTTACTGATTATTGGATATTTGGGATCTAGCTACCCGGTAGTCTGCCCAGATATATTGTATTACTTCTTTATATTTTTAAGCCATCATATATCTTATTTCAGACTTTTGACTGTAATGTAAAATTTTACTAGTCGCTGCTACTTACAAAAATCATTTTATGTTTGTGTAGCCCATATTAGTCAGCCTTGGTGGTCTAGTGGTTAAGATTTGGCTATCTCACCCCTGTGGCCCTGCTTTGTTTCCCATCCCAGTCAGGAAACCACACCACCGGTCTGTTGGTTGTCACACTGTGGCAGCTGCGTGTGGCTGTGATGCTGAAAGCTATGCCACTGGTATTTCACATACTACCAGGGTCACCCATGGTGGACAGGTTTCAGCGGAGCTTCCAGACTAAGACAGACTAGGAAGAAGGACCTGGCCACCCACTCCTGAAAAAATTGGCCATGAAAGCCCTGTGAATAGCAGCGGAGCATTGTCTGATATAGCACTGGAAGGTGAGAGCATGGTGCAAGACCAGGCAGGGTTCCCTCTGCTGTCCACGGGGTCTCTAGGAGTCAGAATCCACTCGATGGCAGTAACAACAAAAAAGCCCATATTCCTCTCTTTCTCTGTTTGTTCACTAGAATATTGTTACATAACTTTAAGTAAAATTTACTTTTCTCTGTTTTTATCTTTTCTAGTGGACAGTGTCATAAAGCATAACATAACATGAGTGGAAGAGTCTACTGCCAGTAACTAACATCTGCAATCAAATGGACTTCCTCAATTCAATTTCTGCTCTTTGAATAAATGAAGATTCAGACTTTGTAATTTTAGTGCCCTTAAGTGCAGTGCTTTTTCAATACCGAAATATTCAAAATGCTTTTGATTTTCAAACCAGACCTTTCATTAAATACTTATTTTCCTACATTTGCTCTTCTGCAGGTATGGAGTGATTTGCCATTTTTCGTAGTTAAAACATGGACCTAAAGAGTGACTATATGTATATATGCAGTGCATGTAAAAATTCTGCATACATCTCAAACATTAAAGTTTGCAGTTGTATTTTCCCTCTTTTATGAAATGATCTAGCTATTTATAGTTTGCTGCTTAACCTTACATCTCTTTTTATTTCATTATATATGAAGACTTGCTTAAACTTATGGACTTAGTGCCTTTAAACTGATCATCAGGGAAAATCTTGAAAAATCATTTGAAGGGCTTATGTGAAGGAACGCTATAAATTTTTATAACTTACTAAGTAGTGAATATTTGTAGGAAATGTTGAATTTCTCCTAATTTATTTTTTATTTCTGTAGCTTATAAAATTAACATGCTGTGTTTTACATTGCAATAAAGTGGCTTTTTTTGCTTGCTGAATTTAAAATTACATATAAGTGGTACCATCAGAGGGCAGTGATGTACTGTTGTACAACGTCACATTCAGCTCCATAAAGATCTTTGTGGTAACTGAGTTAAGCTCAGATTCTGGATGGGTTATACCGAGTGGTAATGTATTTGTCCAGATTTCATAGGCGTTTTTATTCTTTTGTATTTATTAAAGAATGGTCTTAAGATTTATACATATGTGAAATTGCCAAGGCAAATAGGAATGTGTGAAAGAGAAACATGTAGGTACTGTATATAAAAAGGTCTACTTGAAACATAAGAATATTACAAGTTAATTCTATATGATGCACAGTCATAAACTTTTTAGATTTTTTGTTCCTTAGTAACGTGTTTTATAGCATTTTTGTTTTTTGAGTTTTCCTTTCTAGTATATAATAAGCTAAAATAGAAGAATTGCTGTATCTTTTAATTTGGTTGCTAACTCTTTTGGATGACAGAGCCACAAACTGAGCCCTAAATTAGAATTTGCAGATACAGAGTGCCAACAGGGACTGTAAGTTAAATAGACCAGCTCATTTGATTTACACAAAGGAAACTGAGCCATCCCCTTGCTCATCCCTCCCACAAGTCTTGTGTTATATTGCAGTATATTGTATATGTTAATTTTAAAGAGTTTGAACTATAAAATAGGTCTCTTCATTTCTCATTGGAAAAATCACTTTTTTTCCATTATGAACTATTCTCTGAATATCTAGGCAAGACAGATACTTAGGCTCAATTTTCTTCATCTTTTAGAAGATTAGTGGTATTTTTTTGTTCATAAAGGATAGTGAAATTATTGAATTGTTTTTTAAAAATAAAATTTTTTACTTTATGAACATGATTAATTTTTCCAAGGCAGAAAGGAAGAAGGATCATTAATAGCTGGATTTAGAACCAGAGCATACCATCCTTAAACTGTGCAAATCTTTCCTTCTCTTTTAATATAGAAAGAACAATTTGACTGTACCACATCTTAAAGAATTACAGCTTGGGTTGGTGTAAACAAAAGGTTTACATCCAGGGGATAATACCCTATTTCTAACAGCAGTTTCTATCCAGATAGATACCATGCTTATTTACTGTTGAACCATGAATGATAGGCTGGTGTATTGCTTTCTGGGAACAGTAGGATATGCTGCTCCAACCATGACCTGCCTCCATGGGTGTGGTCAGCTTTCCCCCAAACCACGTGGGTTGCATGGGCTATGAGGTGATACTCAGATGTTAGGAACAGTGTTAGGAAGGGAAAGGGAAAAGGGGAGACTAGAAGCCTGAGAGGAAACCAGTAAGTGACTACTAAAAAAAAAAATTGTACACACACATCCAGGCATCTCCCTCATAAAGTATGAATCAGTTCCTGATGAAAACCTTAACTTGGAGCCAATTTTCCATAGTTTATAATTTAAATAGGAAAACATTATAATGCTTAATATGTCACCCAAACCCCCAACCAAATTACTAAAATATAACTGAAACAGTAAAATGTGTATATGTAATATTTTAAGATGTAAAATGCTTAAATCACTGCTTTTTAATTCTAATCATTAAACTATTAATATGGCTGGTAACAAAAAGTTGTGTATTATTACACAGCCCCTTTGTTGACATGCTGCATGTTTTTTAAGACATCTATATGTGATACTATTGTTCCACCGATTGTGTTTGGAATGTAATTAATAGTTTTCCTACACATGGTTTTGTTATAAATTCTGTATTGCTTTATGGGGATACAAATATACATTTTTTTCTATATAAAAATTGGCTTTTGCCATCTCTGTTGAACAAAATTTTATCTTCACTTAAGTAATTAGAACTTGGGTTAGTGGTTAGGGAGCCCTCCACTGCACTTTCATTTCTTTGGGATTAATGAGAACAGAGCTAAAGGCTGTTGGGTGTGTTCATACAATCCCTGAATGTATAGGAAGCCATGTTTCTTTTCCTATGCTCTAAAGGAGAAATGATATAACTAGTTTCCTGTTTCCTTAGAGAAATAATACTATAATAAAGGTTCTAGCTATCATCCTTGGTACTCCAGAATTGACATAAGCTTTGAATCTTCCTTTTCTCCACCAACAGTTCGACTTTTTATTTTCACTGATAAGAATTATGCTACACCCTTAGAAGAAAAAGTAAGTTTTGTGGGTTTTAGATTTGAATAATAATAGCTGCATAAATAGATCAGTAAGAGGTAGGTAGATCTGCATGCCTATCTGTGTTGACATTTAAGGTGTATTCTTTAACAGCTCCAAGTAAGAATCTCCAATTCCCATGACTACTGTATGTGCTTTAGTTGATTCAGATGTGGTACTGTGGCCTTTTCTTTGATTTTTCTCAAAAGCCACTGACACAAGGCAACTGTGTATATAGCAGACTGTGAAGAAATTTTGGTTTGATACAGAGAAGTTTGTATCCCAACAATTCAAACACTAAATCTCTTATATGACTTGGCTTTTTATTATCCTGCTCTCCCTCTTCCAGGTGTGCTTCATCTTACAAATGTTGCCTGTAAATACAATCATTATGGTCTAAGAACTGAATATTCATAAATTACTTGACCTGGATGTGATAGTTTAATTATATCCTGAATTGCATTGTCTATATTTATAGCAACATACTTGACTTGTGTTGAGTTTTGAGTTAATGTCCTCTACTGATAAAAACAGGTTTGAGCCATCTTTTGCAAGTACTTCTAACTTACCTCAAATGGAACTCCAGTCGTGTGCTGCATAACGACACTTTGGTCACCAACGGACCACATATATGACGGTGGTCCCATAAGATTAGTACCATATGGCCTAGGTGTGTAGTAGGCTAAACCATCTAGGTTTGTGTAAATACACACTATGAATGTTCACACAATGACAAAATTGCCTGACGTGTTTTTCAGAACGTATCCCCATCATTAAGTGAAGCATGACTATCATTAGTTTTGCACACAACCTGGCTCTCTCTAGGGTATTTCTCTAAAATCTATTTCATCATGTAAGTCAGAAGTAAGGGAGTTATGGTTACTCTACCTAACTCCTAAGGTGCCCTTTTCTCATTCTATGTTTCTTAGATACTCAGGTTATAAGTAACAGATATACTTAAATAGGTTAAAAAGATACCAAATGTTTCATATGTAGAAAATTATTAAGTATCTACACAAAATTTTGTAGAATTAATGACTTTAGCAAGGTTATAGAATACCAAATCAATATATGAAGAAGTCAATTCTATTTCTATATGCAAGTAATGAACAATCTGAAAATTAAATTAAGAAAACAATTTCAATCATTGTATCATTACTTAGAATAAAATACTTAGGAAAAAACAAAAGAAGTAAAAGATTTGAACTAAAAACTACAAAATATTGTGGATAAATAAAAAAAATCTAAATGGGGTGACATTGCATGTTTATGGATTGGAAGACTCAATATTATCAAGATGGCATTCTTAAATTGATCAATAAATTCAATGCAAAATCCCAGCAAGCTTTTTCAGAGAAATTGACAAAATGAGTCTATAATTTATATGGAAATGCAAGATTTGTAATAGCCAAAACAATTTTGAAAAAAGAACATGGTAATTTTTACTAAGGAGTAAATGAGTAAAAGCCATCTACATTTGGTAATTTCCTTCTGAATATAATCTCATTTTTCCATATCCCTCTTCAGTGCCACTCAGCAGCTAGACACCAATGTCAGTTGTGACCATGTTCTTAGTGACACTTAAAAGACCATCATAAATGTGGTATAGGCAGAAAGAATGCCACCCTCCTGCAAAGATGTTCACATCCTAATCCCTGGAACCTGGGAATATGTTATATTACATGGCAAAAGGTATTTTGCAGATGTGCTTCAGTTAATGACGTTAAAATGGGAAGGTTATATTGCATTATCTGGGTGCACCCAATCTAATCACATAGATCCTTAAAAGCAGAGAACCTTTCTGACCTGTGGTCAGACAAAGAGATGTAAAGAAAGAAGCATCATTGAGACACTCTATTGCTGGCTTTGAAGATAGAGGAAGGGGGACATGAGCCAAGGAAATCAGGCAAGCCTCTAGAAGGTAGAAAAGGCAAAGAAACAGATTCTCTCCTTGACTCCTCAGAAAGAACCAGCCCTGCTGACAACTTGATTTTAGCCCAGTGAGACCATCTCAAACTTCTGACCTACAGAACTCTAACGCAATAAATTTGTGTGGTTTAAGCCACTGTCTGGTAATTTGTTACATTAGCAATAGAAAACTAATAAAATAGATGGAGAGATTAATATTATTTTTGTTAACCTAGACTTATTTTTAACTAAATTAATGAAATTAACTTTAATTATCAAAGACATAAATATGTTTATGGTAAAAATTTAAGAACAGAAGAAAGTTTTGATGGAAATATTATTGCCAATTACTATACAGAGAAATTCAGTGTTAATATTATTTTAGAACATAAATCATTCAATGTCTGTATTTTAAAAGATATTACAATTATTCACTGTTCCAAGGTGATTTTATTTCCTACATAACTTGAATTTTTTTTTTCCCAGAATGATTATCACCACTTCCAGCACCACCAAATTATACCATGCCTATTGTTTCAAAACTTCCCAGTTAACAGGTTGTATATGCGTTGACTAAATCAGTCACAGAACAAACTGAGGTACTTCTTCCCTGATGTTCTGGGGCAAGAAAGGTGGATTTTGTTGTTGTTGAAATATAAATGACAAATTAACTCCGCCTATACTTTTTATACTCAAGGTAGCACTGAACGGACCACCTAGGAGAAAATCTAGACTCCCCACTAAGGAGAACACAACACAACCAGCACTCAGCAGCCCAAAAAGAAGTACTAGGAAACCATCATTTGACTCTTCCCATAATTCCAGGGGAAGTTGCCATTTGAAGACATTGAAATAGAGACAGATAAATTTTTTTAAAATTTATCTTTTTAATTCTTGAATCAGGGAGGACAATATTTTGCTGTTTATGGGTACAAAACAGCTGTGTCCTAGGTATACAAGGGTATATATAAGTCTGTAACATCATTAGCTACAGTGAATTTACCTTACTAGACAGCATAGCAAAGTAGGATTAACTAAAGATATACTTTAATAAGAAAATGCCTTAAAATAACATGAAGTCAGGGAACATTTGACTGTACAATTTACTCTGTCAAAATATAAACGTATGTCAGCTTATGTGTGTGCATTACACTGTCCGTCTCAACACAGCCATAAGCTTAGGAATGTGTGAAACAATTCATAAGCGACTCTCCCAGGGGTGTACGGAAAACATCTAAAAGTACCCCAGCTATTTGGCTGTAGATAAGGGATAAACTTTAAGGCAATCTTCCAAGTGAATGTAAACTTTTCTAAAGTGGCCCTTCCAGGAAACTATTACTGTTGTGAATACTCTGTACTTATTTATAGTGCTGTTGGATATTTTTAGTAGCACATTATCATACTAATTGTCACTTTTTAAAAATTAGCTTAAAAATCCTGCAATTAAAATGTCTGGGGTGCTTTTACTCTGTAGACATAAAACAGGCACCTTCTGTTGACTTATCTGCAAATCCTAAATACTTTCCTCTAATAACAGTTTTTATCTCTAGCTTGAATGGTATTTCTAATATTGTGTTCTAAAATACTGTGTTCACATAGTGAGAAATAATAATTTGCCTACAATTTGTCTAATTTAAATCTGAGTTTAGAATTTCTTTTAATAGGTTATTTTCTATAGAAGCATTAAAATAAATAGTGCTACTCTTTGGACATTTTTCAACATGATGACATTTTTCTGTGTTAAGCCTTTTTCCAAAGTAATTTTCAGAGCATGTGAACTAAACTGACTACACTGGAGAAGTGGATGCAGGCCATTATGAGAGTCCCCTTGTAATGACCAACTAGTTTCATTTAATCTCCTTCTTAGCCTTATAATTGGCAGAGACCACCAGGTAATTATCTGGATTCATGTCCTTGAGGGTTGGAGATTTGCTCTGGATGGGGGATGTTTTGCCATCCACGCGAGAGATCTGCAGCATCCGGCAGGGGTCGTGTTTCAACAGGTACCCTGCAAATGTTTCCCATCCTCCTCCCACACGGACCATGACGTGTTTGTTGTGCAGCATCTGAAATGAAAGAGGAGCAAAAGTGTTAAATTCTGAGAATTCTTAGAGTATCTAAAATCAACTTTCAGTTCTAGTGTTGTTACCGTTTTTTGTCTGTCTTGTTTTTCATGCTCGTTGTTTTTCTACTTGGTGCACAGTGTCTGAGTTAGCATCCGGCTTAGGAAAGAAGCTTTGTTTTTTCCACGCACGTGGATCACAGGTACACGTCCCTGGGACCCAGCCTTGCCCTGCCACTGGAATCAGGGGCTCCGTACAATCCCCAGCTTGGGTCACCGTGTCTGGAGGCTTCTCTCTGAGCTCTGATGTTCCATTGCAGCCCCATCTCTGCCCCCATGTCCTGCTTCCAGCCTCAGACCTTGTGCTCAATTCTTCCCACCAGGTTATTCCCCTCTGAACCAGGACTTAAAATTCCATGGTAATGTCTGTTATTGATTATAATGTTAATAATCACACAAATATTCAGTACAAAATAGACCTGAAAATGCACTCAGAAAAAGTGAAGTCTTCCCTAGTCACTGTCTGAGCCCTTCAAGACAAGATCTTATTGAATGGCCAAACATGTATGTTTTCCTTTATGCTTATTCGTCCTAATTACTTCAGAATGCATCTTTTAAAAAAAACTTACCTTCACGCCCATGAGCCATCTAGAACTCCAGGTTGACAAGGCCATAGATTGAAAAAGTGAAGACTATGCTTCTTTCTATCTACTAAAAATATGTCCGAGTTGTGGAGAATTGGCATGGAGAGCCAAAGAATTTGATCTTGGCTTCTTTCAAATATCAGAAAATGTAAGCTAAGGGGGATACTGCACCACCACCAAAGACCTTGCTGACCCTCTCCCCTGCCCGCAATAGTATGAATACATACCGGCAATGTAATCTTGGGAGGGGATGTTGTTGTGTGAGGGGACTGGGAAGGCATTTTCGTTATAGAGCTTATAAAATCTATTTGAATTCCTCTCGCTCTGTGTCACCTTGAGATCTGGACTTTTTTGACTCCCATCGAGCGGGGGATGACTTGTGCTCTTACTGCTTTCATTTAGTTGTTGAAAATCTGGTTAAAGTTTTAGACTCTTTCTGTATGCCCAAATCTACCAAGTCTTTCATATGTGTTTATGGGTTTCACAGACTCCCAGAAATCCATCCATGGACTCAAGCTAAGAAATCCTGATTCATATGGTTGATACAAAGCATTTTCAAAATCAAATATTGTGCAAAGTAATAAAAATATGCTCAATAACAATAATTAAAACTATTGGACTCATGAGAATTAGAGTAAATGTAATTCTACTGGTTATTCTCATTTAGAGCATTAGAATTTTGGATAGAAAGGATCTTGGGAAACATCTTCTAGCTAAAAGTCTTTAAAGTTATTTTAGCATCAGAATCTACTCATTAAACAAAATCCAAACCGGAACCCCTGAAATATAAAGCAGATAAAAGGAGTCAGGATTTAACTTGTAACTGTGTTGCCTCCACGGTCCTGTCAGTGGTACCATGTGGTTTTTTCAGATGAAGACACTGAGGCCCAGATCTTTGATGTGATTTGAGTAGACTAGGACCCAGATTTCCTGACTCCCAGTCTAGTGCTTTTCCCACAACAGTTCCTCCTTATAAAATAAAATCCATCAAGGCTTTTATAACTCTACTGGCCTGTTCCCACTCCCACAAGTTCCTGTGTGTGCCTCCGCTGCCTGCTTCCCAAACTGGGAGCTACTGGGACAAAACTTGCAAAGGCCAGTGTCAAAATAGCACTTCAACCCTTTCTCCCATTGTTCCAGAGAGCGGCTTTGCCTATTGTTGAAGTTCTGGCATTTCCTAGCCCTGCAAGTTACGTTTAAGAGTTGCCTGTAAACATCCTTGGTATGAATGCCTCTGGGCAGAGTGCCCAAGTACATTTGATGTGAGCAGGCTGTTTTAACCCGAAAGAACCACCACTCCGAACAACTTTTAAACAATTAGTTAACTTCAGAAAACAGTGAAAGAAATGTTTTTCTGCCTTAAGTATACTGTCACTTATGCACAAACCCTGCCTGCAGACTCTTTAATGAATCCATAGAACTATGCACAGTGGATCCAATATGAAATGGAGTCAAACTGAATGTGAATAACACAGGAATTAAATTTCTGCCCACCTCCTCTTGCATCTCCTTCCTGTAGCTAGTCAGCAACATATGATTCGCTAAGAAAGCCAGTAGTCAAACTGGGCAACAGTTTCAAGCATGGAAGTTATCAGGCCCAGAGGGTTTACAGCCCTGATTGTAGAGATTTAAATTCCATGCCTTTTCTTAGTATATGTTCAGTTCTTAAGACAAGAATTTAACAGCCACCACCAACTGCATAAACAAAACCCCTACTGTTTAACCTAAAAGCAAATCAACCTGTTATAAACCAAATTACTCTCAACTCTTCCCTCCCTCCATCCACAGTGCTTACCCTACAAAATCCCAATCTTGGATCAAGTGTATAAACCATGGATCCTTCTAAACCATGGCAGAGCTTCTGAGCTATGCTGGAAGAACCCTTTCCATTTCAGATTAGTGACATTATGCCACCGGCAATCAACTGATCTTTTTACTTTTTATCGTGGTTAGCTCCATTTCCTATTCCTCTCTATTGTTTTCCAACACACCACCCATCTCCATCCTCAACAGGCTACTGATGACTTCACCTTCATCAGGCACGGGTTCCTCTCTCTTGGTACTTCCACTGGCTAATTTACTTCAATCTATACCTATCCTTTTCCACACCTTTCTCATCACAGAAAGAAGTCCTCCTGTCTAAGGTCACTCCTCTCCCGATGTCCTAATTTCCATTACCATTCATGAAGAGCCTAGCTACAGCAAATATCGCATCACTCTTCTCTCTCTCCAACTTATTGAATTATGGTCCTTACCCTTCAGGAAGTAAATATAACCACGCCTCTTCCACTCTTGAACAAAGCAAACTCTGCTCGTTCCATCCCAGTCTGTTTGCTCTCAGACCTTCTCCTTACATCTGAGCTTCCTGATAGTTAAGTTTACACTTGATGTCTTCCCATCTAATTTCCTGTTCACTGTCCAACCCACAGTACACATTGTTTCTGCCGCCTACCTCTTAACTGACTGCATGGGGGAAAGGGAACCAGATGGCTTCTAGAATGATCAAATCCAATGGATGGTCTTTAACCCTTATCTTTCTTGATCACTCAAGAAAGGCGTCTGATAGTATTGACCACTCCTTCCTTGAAACTCCCAACACCTTTCTTTTCTATGACACGACTCGATGGATCTCCTGATACCTAATTGTTCTTTCCCTGCCTTCTTCATAGGTTATATTTCTTCTATTATTTTGTGTGTATGTAAGGAAGATTAGCCCTGAGCTAACATCTGTTGCCTATCCTCCTCTATTTTTGCTGAGGAAGATGGGCCCTGGGCTAACCTCTGTGCCCATCTTCCTCTACTTTATATATGAGACACCTGCCACAGCATGGCTTGATGAGCGGTGCGTAGGTCCGCGCCCGGGATCCAAACTCGTGAACCCCAGGCTATTGAAGCAGAGCATGCAAACTTAACCACTATGCCACCAGGCTGGCCACTCTTCTCCCTATTTTTAAGTTTTGCTCTTCCAAAGGATTCTGCCCTTTGCCACTGTTCTTTTCACTCTACACTCTCTATTTGCAACTGCATGGATTTCACTACCATCTACTTCATCTCTCAAATTACAACTCTATCCCTTGCCATTTCCCTGAGCTTCCAAATGCAAAGGCATATCACCCAGTCCACTACCTTCCACTAGAAGGCCCCACAGGCTTTTCCCAAGAGGGTTGGTGGCACAGGCATTCTCTGTAACTAGTCAGATACCAAAACATTCATTCTCCCCTAAACACTTGTCAGGGTCTTGGTTAACATTGCCAGTATTTAGTTCAGTGCCTCATCTTTTCCCTGGACTACTGCAACGGTCCCACTGCCTCCAGCCTTACCCTCTGTGATCCATAGAGTAAACTGCCACCAAAGGGAACTGCATAAAACTATCACTCTTTCCCTCCCTCCTGTAGGCTGGGATTCAATACCCTTACTTGCATACATTATTCTCCACGGCCACCCCTGCCAGCCTCCCCTGCCCTTCCCTGAGCTCTGGGACCCATGAACTCCTTTAGTTCTACATTCCCAGACAACATACTCTTCCTTTCACACTTTTGCATGTCTGCCACTAAGTGTAGAATGCCCTTTCTGTTCTGTCCTCCATGCTTACCAGGACAAACATTCCCCCATTCAAATATCACCTCCCCCTGAAAAATCTTCCATGATCATCTCCCTCACCAGAGAAGTGAATCTTTCTTGCTGTATGCTGTTTAGTTTGCCCATGAGTTCATTGTTTCACTCATTCTACAGTGCTGTAATTGCTAATTTACCTGTCTGCCCCTTTTCATAATGTGTGAGCTCTCTAAGAGAGCGAGGATGTAGTTCTCATTTTTGGAATCTGACATGTGTGAGCTCAGAACAGTATCAATACTGTAATCAACAGTACTCCTTTTCATTTACACCTTCTCAGGTTCTGCTTCCTTTGCCTACCCTCTGATATCATTATCAGTATCCCTCCCATTTTATAGATAGGAAAACTGATGCTCTTTGAAGAACTAATGCTCTTCAACAACTTGTGCAAGATCACGCAACAAATCAGTGGCAGAACTGGGACCAGCATCCTTTTTCCCATTATACCACACCCCCTTTTTCTGTAAAGCTCCTAGATTTGGATTTTCATACCTGCTTAGTTACTTACCGTGATAATTTAGCACAGGCAAGGAATTACCAATGTCAGAAATAGTAATAAGCTATTTAAGCAGATTAAATGCTCATGTAAAATGATTTATAGTGTTATGGTTTAATATACCTTAAATAAACATTGAATTTAATGTCAAAAGATTATCTGCTAGTGGCCCTAATTATTTCAAAATTAAGCATGTGTCCAGTGCAGGTCATGGGATAGACTATATTTATAGCCAGCTCTCTGGTGGCATAA